AAGGCGTCGCCTTCTCCTTCCTGATTGTCTCCTTTCAGGAAAGGTGGAGACTTGAACTCTTCTTCATTGTCTCTTCTTCTAATCCCCCATCTTCTAAGCCAAACTTATTGCTTTCGTCCTCTACCTCTTACCCTTTCCATTTATTTTTCTCCGCTCTTTTTTTTTTTCTTATTATAATTATTAATATGTTTTTATCCTCCCCTTGGTTTTTTATGGTGATGTCCTCTGCCTTTTAGCTAGGGTATAAGTCAACCAAACTTGCTTGAGTTCAACTCGTTAAACGATTTGTGAGTCTAGTTTATCGAGCGGCAAACTTGAGCTTGTTCGGCAAACCTGAGCTTGTTCGACTTAGCTTGTTGGAGTGCAATTTGGCTCGACTAAGCCAAATTTCCATCACATCTAGGATTGTAAATGAACAAATGCACTCAATGAACATGTCATATCATGGGACCGAAAAGCGGTACACATCGATTACCATACACATGAAAAATGCCCGGTACAAATCTCGTGACAATTTAATAGGTCATATCAAAATGGACAAATCAAAGAGTATTCCTCCAACGAAATGCTAGGTACTCATAAAGTCGACTGACTGAAGAACCAACAGTCGACCGACAGCCAGTCGATTGAAGGGTTGAGGATCGATCATAGAGCCACCTAGGCTGACCAAAAACAAAAAATCTCTGAAATGACAGAACAAAGGTTCACCCCAACAATCTCACAACGCGAGGCTCTCTCAAATTTTCCTCCAAAGATCGTCAATTAACGGGTAAGTCGACCGATCATGCTAGAACTGACCAGCTACCACTCTCAAAGCCATTTGGCATTCCAGAGCTAAGACTTACCGATACCCGGTTGAAATAACCGACCGGCACCAATGCAGTCGATCGACTCAAAAGCCTGTCGACCAAAAGGTCTGTGAACATTAAAAGACATCAAAGCCAGTTCAAACATGAAAGACACGACAAATACAATAATATGTGGTAACACACCTATTAAAGCTGGGGCAGATATGTAATTTTTCGCTTTATGATCTCCTTTCTTCTATAAATAGAGGTCCAATGCATGTAAAAATAGCTTCTTGGCTCTTCTCTCTATGACCATATTCTGTTAGGAGACATATCTCCCCTTCACTCTTGTAACCCTTCAGTACAATATATAAAATAGGTCATAGAGCCCGAAAATATCCACATTTGCACCTACGGGGCAAATTTATGAGTGTTCTTTTATTTCTTTTTTCTCTCTCTCCAATTCTACTTACAGGTTCCAACCACTTCAATCATTGAGCATGCCTCACACTAAAAATTTGGATTCAACTGTAACATATGACGTGATGAAATGATGTGAATATATTTAGGTTGCATGATCTGGGGTGTCTTAGTTGTAAGTAAAGGGCAATTCTTGATATTGTGATTGAAAGGTTACAGTTGGTAATGTAACACTTACTCTATCTTTTTTCTCTCATTATCATTCTCTCATCCCTCTGTTCGTGCTTTGGTTAATGGATGTGTAATATTCTCCAAAAGTATTCTGACCAGTCATACTAAACAATAGGTTATGGATGACTCTAGGGGAGGATGATCAACTACAAGATACTTGTGTCTTCCATCACAACCATCGTGTTTTGAGTCGTCGGTCAGACCAACTGAGCTACCTTTTTGTATGGTATCGACCACCTCTTTAATAAAAATCAATTTCATTTTAGTCTTCCACTACCTTTGTGTCGAGAGTTTTGATCCATCATTTCTCAATATGGTGTCATTCCCACCAAGTTTATGCCTAACTCCATAGCAACCATCATGACATTCGTCACCTTCTGTCGCTGGTCAGAGATTTCGTGAACTGTTAAACATCTCAGCTATTTCTTCCTGTTTTGGGTTGGCCCAGTTGGGTTTATACATTTTTCTTGGGTTAACGAATTCCAACTATTGGAGTTAGAGAATAAGGTGAAAGATTAGAAGGCTCGTTCCTGTTCAGGCTCCTCTCCATAAGGGTGGTTCATCTAGACAAACCCGTGTGGCAAAGCTCCGATAAAAGAAAAAAAAAAAGAAAGTGTAACCTACTAGGGCTAGAGAATAAAGTGAAAGATTGGAAGGCTTGCTCCTGTCCAGGCTCCTCCCCATAAGAGTGTTTCGTCTAGACAAACCCGTCTGACAAAGCTCCAATAAAAGCAAAGAAGAAAGCGTAAACGAGAGTGTTGGTGGAATTGGTGATGTCGAGGGGCATCATCTACGAGTTCAACAATATCTTAATCCGAAGACTGTTGAACAGGTGCTTCAATCGGACACTTTTGGTTTTCTAATTTGCATCTACGGTGCAAATATATTTGTGTGCGCGCGCATGTGTATAGGAAAACAAAGAAAGCTAAACAGATACAGGTGGGTAAAAATAGAATTCTATAGTGGTTTTCATAATATGCTGACAACTGAATTACATCAACAATGAAAATGAAGCAAGAAAAATATAATTTGTTCAAAAAAATACCTTGAAATTATAAAAAAACACTTAGAAATTAGCCCAAGATTAAATGATTAGACGATAATCCATTGTTGCTTCGACCGATACATAACCTAGCCGAAGCAACCTCCTAAATTAAATTTCCCCCCATACTTGAACCGATTCAGTTAATCCGCTTAGATCTGAGCCTAGAGTATTACTTTTCTCCCCTAGACGTATGATAATTCCAAATGAAGATGGCCACCACCTCTTCTATCCTCTCAACCTTCTCCACACGAGCTAATAACACCCACAATTCCTTGCTTTTTTGAATCCCTTCCAATCGAGTGAAGGAATCCTTGATTTCTTCCAATCGATAAGTGAGCAACCCTTCGGATTTTCTTAGTTGTTCAGTTGCTTCCACACGTTCTTTAAGTGAGACGACAGGGCGATCAACTCCACCATATTCATTTAAGAGGCATCCACCTTTGCTTGACACTTGTTCCACTATTGCTAGTACTTCGGTCAGATTCTCGCGGATGCCAACTAGGAATGGATTCTCACCTAAGCTTCTCAAAATTGAGTCTACTGCCCCAATAAACATTATAAAGTAAAAGAACTTAAAAAAAAATCAACAAATAAACTGAGGCTCCTCATACGGAGGAGCTCATTCAACTCATACATCGCAACTAACACAACATTCTCATTGTATGATGGAGGAGCACCAACAACCTCTTGCGTGACATGTTCGATCTGCGGGTATTTCATCATATTGAAAGGTTGTACAGTCGAATCGATTGTTGGACCGGTTGACTGAACATTCCACTGCTTATTATAAAGGAATGAAACAAACAATCCTACCTGATTTGATGGTGAGAGTACAATCGTTTTCTCTTCTTAACAACTTTCTTCTTCCTTTCACCTCATGGACGATCCCATCCTTTCGATTTCCCGAAGACAAAAATGGTCGGATCTTTGCTGGAGATATCACCAAAGGGGTTTGATAAGTTCTCTATCACAACACTTGTAAGCCAAGTGATTCAAATAAAAGTGGTTTTAGAACAAATAAGGAATGGGGAAAAACTCTCATCACATCTTTTTTATAAGAATAAAAGGCACAAAAATCAAGGAAGTTCAATCATGCAATCACTAATTAATAATAAATGTGATTTAATGTTACAATAAATTCTCTTATTCTTATCACAACACCACTTTCAAGAAGTAATAGTATTGGAAAACTAAAATATGTACATGAAAATTATGACAACACTGATCCTGAGGAGATCTAACGGTGGAGAAGGGAAGAGTGCGATGAAAGTGGGTCCACTGATAGATTGTGAATCATCCTTATTAGACTGAGTGAAGCTGTTCATGCCAAGCCAAAAAAGGCAAAAAAATCAGCCGAGCCATGAAGTGGACAAAAAGACGACCACACAACCCAAGCCAAAACTAATTAACTAGATGTGAGATGAAAGAACATCTGAGCCGACCATTATAGAAAACCAATCACATGTAATAACCGACCCTCCTGCAAGATTCGATCCAAAGTAAGATCTGGTTCCATAATATCTCCGATCATTCGAGGGATGCTCCTTAAGTTTCCACGAGAGACTAAGGATTGACTATCAAACTGTATCAATTGACCGCTCCATACTTGCGAAGCTCAACTAATTGATCTTGCCTACCCCAAGCATAACCTAATTCCGCCTCTGTGTGGAGGGTGGATGAAGTTTGCACATAAGCATTAGTTGATATATTTCTTTTAAATACTTTGAATTTTATACTTTAAAAACTTGATTTTATAAATAAGCCCCTTCAATTAAGATGTGTAATAGATATGTACATCATCCATGATTTAAAGATTAATTTAAATATTTGAGCATTGTGAACTTTGTCCTACTTATAGAAAATCTGATTCAGGGATTATATTAATTGATTTCTTAAAAAAAATGAAGTTTAATTTTAAAAATTAACACTTTCGATTGAAATCGTCTATCAGCTCGGTCATTATTAAAAAAATTGATATTACTTGAACATCATTTAAAATGCTAGTTTTATCGACTACAATCCATATGAAGAGGTGAATTACATTATTATGTTGGCGTTTAGTCTTGTCAACCCCAGACTTAGGTAGGGAAATCATACTGGCTAAGCTAAACTGGAACTTAAGACCCAACCCTACGAATTAACATTATTCAACATGATATTTTAAAAAGATATTTTTAGGGTTTATGGTTAAAAACTCCTATATAATATCATTTAATAAAAATTTAGTGTGAGAGTTAATCAACCAGGAAAATTTATTTCATATGAATATTGTATGCAAAAATGTCTGATTTTCACCGTTCATGACAGCAAAGATATATGATGTTAAATCCTATTTTAATTTTTTTTTTAAATTTATGAATGGTGGAGATCGGCAGGGGCAGCTCGTCTCTCGGGTGCCACGCACCTACTTGTCTTCACACAACAACCCAGCCGAGCGGTGATTTTTTATTCTGTTCCACCTCCTGCTTCTCGTACTTCGAAGGAGAAGCAGTGGGCAAGAAAGCCATGGAGGCGCCATGGCGGCGGCGGCGGCGGCGGCGGCGGCGCGCTCCGCTTCCGTATTCGCATCTCCGTCATACAGTTTAACAAAAGCGGCGAATATCCGCTCCTTCACGGCGTCCTCCTCTTCCTCTCTTGTTTATAATATTGTATTACGCGCTCCTCCTACCTTTCTCTCCGAATCTGGCAGGGTATTTTCTAGGTACGCTTTTGTTGCATACTGGAACCACCGTAGCTCTCTGCGTTTTGTTTTAGGAGGAATTAGAGTTTGTTCTGTTGTTGATTTTGAATATGTTTACTGAGTTCCATATTTCTAAACCCAAGTCCTATTGGATGCAAGTTGAGTTCAGTGAATCCGAATTGGATAGAATCTAAACCAACTGCAATTTAATAAATCTTTCCGGTGCAAATCGTGGTTACTGTTTGATTGAACAATTCTTGAATCCAGCTAAATCCCTGAGTTGTTTGCTTGTTGAATATTGGAGGATTTAAAGAGATTTGGATGGTTTTGTGAATAAAAAAGCATTCAAGTTAATGAAATCCCGTTTTTTTCGCTAATCCTTGAGATTAATAAATATATATTCGGGTCCCTAAGGTTTAAGTACACTTCAATATTAATTTTATGCTTATATGAATCTGTAATAAGGTAGTGGGACAAGATTTATTGAAACTATACGTAACATAAGAACCAAACCCTGAATTCTGATTAGTTGTAACATGCAAATTCAACAAACATAATTAGACTATTAATGTATATTTTTGGTCGCCCCGCATTTTCATTTCCAGATACAAATGTTATTTATGATTCAAAACCATTGGCACATTTCTATTCACTCTAGGGAGAAGTAGTCAGTTGAAATTTCAAGAAAAAAATGATCCAATGGATTAAATTAATCAATATCCAACAGAGCTCCTCCAATGGGAATCGGAGAAACAAAGCACGAGTCAACTTCACTAGTGAAACAATCAATAATTGGGTATGAATGGAACAAAAAAGAATTTATTCTACTAAAAATGCAATTTATTTCTATTAAAGAAAATGAATTAATGGTCTGCTATTGTGGAGAAGATTTGCTCAAAATCTAGAAAAATGGTATGGAAGCTTGTATCTGCCCAAACAAGAATCAATTGGGTGGAGGCTCATATATACCTAATAATAGTAGAAAAAAAACTAAAAGTTTGCTGTAGCAAAGTAACTTTTTGTTTTATAAAATTATAATAGAACCACCGCAACTTTACTTAATCTGAGCAAAAAATTAGAAGTACATATAACATTCTTAAAAAATTTGCTTGTCAAGTATGAAAAAATATGAAAGTGTGGGCATTAGATTATTGCTGGAAAACAAAGATTGGATGGAGAGGGGCGGATGGAAATATTCGATTTGGTTATGGTGATATGGTGGAAGTGATTTTAGGCAGAGAGAATATAAAGGTGAAGAAGAGATATTGCAATATGAGAGCAAAGGGGTGAGTAGGGGGCTTTAATGAGATTTAAATCATGTAAATATTAAAGTGAATGGCTTTTGCCAATTTTGATTTGCGACTTTGTGAAACTTGCCAAATACTTGATTTAGTTCCAACTCTATTTGACATTGTTTTATTAGTTGTTTCTTGTGAATGGATTTAAGTATTGCATTTAAGAGGAGTAAATAGGCATACCAAACTCCCTTTGAGTATTACCTTTCCATTTTTTTTTTGTTGCATTGCATGATATCATCTTCCATTTATATCACTTACTGCATCAAGTGGTTCATCTTTCATAGGATAACTAAACTTGTCAATGAAAATTTTAGAGCTTTGGCAATTTCCATGGAAATGATTTTCTCCTTCTGAAAGAAAGATTGTTTTACGATCCTTTGTTTTATATTAACAAAAAAATTATCTTATAATGAGGATGACATAAATTAGCGATGACTCCATCTATCCATCGTTGTTCATTAATTTGAGATTTCAATTAGTTTATAGAATAATTATGCACTCTAATTTTTATTGTTAGTTTTTTGAGATTGTTGTTGAACTTAGTTTGTCAGATGAAAAATATGATTTCACATTGCTTGTGAAAATGGGCTCATAATTGGGCCCAAATAGTTTGCATAAGACTTCTTGTTTATTTGGAGGGATCACCATTGGGAAGGCTAAGAAAAACACCACATGGATAAGACTAATGACCATGATGACCCAATGACTAAGACAACGACACAATATTGATGACTTCTGTTTTTCTAATGCATATTTATTGATAGTTTCTATTTATAGAGAATGTAGCAATGCTTTATGTTATTATAGAGTGGAATTCTCAGCATGATTATATTTTCAGAAGGTTTGCAATGACTTAGAATTATATTATTCATTCAAAAAAATTTCTAGGATAATTGAAGTTTGCAGGAAAGAAAGAAAGAAGATTCTATGTGCTATTGCAAATTAACTTACTAATAATTTATCTATCCTTTTTTTTTTAGTAAATTATTTAATTTTATCATAATAGGAAATCATGTCAGATAAAGGCAGCAACCTTGCAAGAGAAAGAAGAAAAAGTAGGAGTAGAAGACTATTTTCATGTTAAGACGATGCCTAACACAATTAACGAGCCAACAGAGGATGGCAACTCTTCTTCAAAGGAACCTAGTGTGGTGGAGAAATGGGTCATCAAGTTTGAGCAGTCATTGAATGTCCTCCTCACGGTATGTTTTTCTAATATATCCCCTTATGCTGATTTGGTGAAATAATTTTATCTATATCATCCCAATTTAGCTCCCAACAATAATTTAGGCAAAGGTTTCATTCTTCTTTTATATTGCTTGTTGGCAATTTTATGTTGATAAACATGGGATTTAAATTTGCTTCAATCTATTCAATTCCTAGCTTTTCTGCTTAGCATTTTTAGGTTTTGAGAGTTGGGTTTTTTTTTTCCCCCTTTATTTTTAAAAAATGTTAATTCTTCGTTGGAGTTACCTTTTCTTTGTTTTCCAAGTCCCTTATTCTGGTAACCTGTGTTTTTGCTTTCACCAAATACTTGGAAGGCTACTGGATTTCAATCATTATTTAAAAGATAACAGAAAGTTTCAGCATCTTTGGTGCTAGTTTTTACATATATGAAATATTGCTGCTAGAAGTCTCTAGTTAAAAGCTTCACTATTGCTTGGTGAGGGATTTTTGTATGTTGCCACACACTATAGAATTTTTGGAAGATTTCTATCTAAATGACTGGGCACGACATTTTGAATAATAACACATCTTTCTAAAGGAAGAAAATGTTACCTTAAAAATAGGCCTAACCACCTGGATGATGAAAGACTTCGTAAGTCTATGGAACCAGGGGTTTTTCCCCTTATCTTACAGGTGTAAGATAAGTTTCATTTTAATTCTTGAGTCTCGTTCCCTACAAGGACAAACCCTTATTGTTAATTATATATTTAGAGTTGTGAATTGTAAAGAAAATTATCGATTAATATAATGAGTCAAATCATCAAATGTCAGATTTTCACAATTAAAGTGGTTGACGATAAGGGAAGGATCCAAATTGGAAGAATTAAGCTAAAAAAAATGGTACTTACTGTTTTATGACAATGTGTCATGGGAAAGACACAAATTTGGTGATCTAATCATTCAAGTAAGGAAGTTCAAATACATTGAAGAATTTAGAATGATCGAATAGTGAATTCGCATTGATCGTATAGAGTTAAAAGTTAACTTTGAAATACTACATTTGACTAACTGAAAGGATTGGAATTCCTAAGCTAAGGGCAGGTTTTAAGAAAGATTTTTAAATGCGAACGAAAAACACCCTAGACTCTATGAGCAATACTAAGGGGTGGGCTTACTTAGATTTTGGGAATAACATCCCCGATTAGAATGTTCATGGCTTTCCGTCATCCAAAAAATTTTGGTATTCATCAACTATAACCAACGTTATAACCAGAAACCCTCCTTGAACGTCGTAGCATAGATGATTCATAGTTTTGAGGCGGTCTGAAATATCTTCGGCAGTAATCACGGGTTATATAATTTTAAGGTATTTCCTCTAGTATTAGGGGGTAGGTTTATTTATTTTTTATGTCCTAGTCCTTAGCACTAACTATGACACCTAATTAACCTAGGTTTCTATACTTAGACTAACTTGGGGTAAGCGTATGATTCTCAGGGTCCGTTTGGGGCAGCTTGTGCGTTTTAGGATAAACTGCTTATCCTGAAACGCGGCCCGCGGGCCGACCGCAGCGGTCGACCCGCGACCCGCGGTTTGCCGACCTGCGTTTAGTGTAAAAACTCAAACGCAGTTTCGGATAAGCTGGGAAACGCGCGAACCAAACAGTATGGCGGCGTTTTGAAAACGCCGCCCGCACTTATAAGCTGCTCCAAACAAACCCTCAGTTTGGTGCTAAGTTAGCTAACCTAAGGTTCATGTCGGATCTACCTAGGTTATGTTTCAGTTTTTTGATCTTGGTGTATTTTAAATGTTATTTGAAATTCAATATTTAATTCATGTTTTATTTCAATTCCTAGGGTTGTCAGTCGTGGTGAGAAATCAAAGTTTTCCTAAGTTTTTTAGTTTAATTGTGTTTAGGATTTGATTTTGATGTTTGTGGAGAAAACCAATTTGTGAAAGGTTTTCATCCTTCCTTTTATTTTATGTATTTTTTGTTATTTTTGTTTTATTTTTGAAGACTACACATGAAATATAAAATATAAAACTAGTCATGAAAATGACATGTTTTTAGCCTGGATTAAACTTGGGTTAGGATTGAGCTGAAGTATCATGTAAGTGGTATGCTGGTTTGGGCCCGGGTTGGACCTAAGTTGGATCTAAGTTATACCTAGGTTGACCTGGGTTGGATTTAGGTCGACTTGGGTTGACTTGGGTTGGATTTAGGTCAATTTGGGTTGACTTGGGTTTGACCTGGGTTGGTTCAAGTTGGGTCTTGGTTGGGTCGGGTCTGAGTTGGGTCAGTTTGTGTCTGGGTTGGGTTGGGTTGGGTCAGGTGTAGGTAGGGTTAGGGTTGGTTAGATTAGGTTTCGTTTGACCCAAGTCAAACCCAAACCCAAGCCTAATCCAAGGCTATCGAGTTTGGTTAGTCTAGTCTAAACCTAACTTAAAATAAAAGAGCTTAAACTTAAATGAAAGAGGAGGGAAGAGAGGACTTACCGGTGAGAAAACTGATCGAAGGAGTAGGGTCGTCGGAGAAGTTTTTCTTTCTTTTTCCTCTGCTCAAAATACTCAAAGGGCCAGTCCAGTCCTGGAGACAATGGAAAGGCTGCCTATTTATATGCTAGGAAGGCGGTGGTAGGGGTCCTAATCACCATCCATTTACTTTGGACCAACTGCTCTGATCATTCCGGCGGTTCCTAACAGCTGTCGCTGGCGTGACAGTGGGGAGCAACGTGGTAGCGGGGTAGCACTAGTGTGGCACGTGAAGTGACCATGCGAGATTGGGCGTGGTCACGCTCGGGAATGCTCTGGTGTGATCACATAAGGGCTGGGCGTGATCACACCCTGGCCAAGCGTGATCACTCCAGACCACTTTGTGGCGTAACCATGCCTAGGCCAGGCGTGATCACACCATGTCAAATTTTAGCGTAGCTACCTTTAGGCCAATAGGGCAAGGTGCACGTGTTCAAGTAAGTCAACTGCGATAAAAAATGAGGTTAACTAATAGACTCTCAATATGTGTGACAAACTATTCAGAGTACGATGCACATATTACGTGGTTGATAGGGAAGTTGGTTTAATTCCACTGAGGAATTCAATTCAAATATGCTGAAGAGTTGTGATGTGATAGTTTGAAAGTTTATGTTTTTTTGTGTTATGTAAATTTGTGTTGTGTCTGAACACGTCATAAAAGAAAATACAAAAACTTCAACCTAAGAGGTGTATAGAGGCGACTTGGTCAGGATAAATAATACGGGGATCTAAGTTGAAGGCAAGTCAGGTGGTCAGTTTAAAGTAGATAGTTCGAGGTCTGGTGTCTACCTTAAGCTCTGGCCCGGTTGTTTTAGAAGTGAACAATTGGGCCTTGAGCTTCTAAGGGTTTTTCTGCGGTGTGTAATGACCATACCAGAGAGCTGCTCATACTCTATTAGGTTTGCAGAGTCAAGACATTGACTTGTCGAATCTTGTGCAGAGACTGAGGTCAATGAACCGAGTAGGAAAAGTATTCGTGTTGATTATGTTTGTTTATTGTTTAGATGTTCAATGACTAAGACTAAGAAAGATTTCTGGCAATAATATTACTTGCTCCGGATTTAATTTATATTAGTCAAGGCATTGTTGTATTGTACCCGAAAATATAATAAAATCAATAAACCCAATTGCTCAGTGCAGGGGCCGTGTCAGGGCTTTATCTCGACAATAAAGAGCCAATGGTAGTCCGTTCTTCTAGTTCATACTAAACAAACAGTTATCCTAACTCCGTGGTGTGCAATAGCTATATTAGGACCCATCCTAGATTTACAGAGCCAAGGCACCAGTTTTCATTGAGGCCGGTGTGTTAAGAAAAGCTGACAAACCCGAGAGAGGAAAAATATATCTTTGATATTCGATAAGTTAAACCAAGTAAAGTTAAGGTTGAGGGAGTTTCTTTAACTCAGAATTAATAACCTAAAGTATTAATCTATATCATTAGACTCCATTATGACTAGATTAATGAAGTTGCTCTCATCGTGATGGTGGACGTGCTCCAACTTCTGATGAATCCTTAGCCAGACCGGTAGAATGGAATGGTCAAGGTCAAACCAGATCTAACTAACTTATCCAAATGTATTTAGTGATTGTACTAGAGGATAATGACTATTCGCTAGGCTTACTCAGTCAAGGTATAAACCGTGTAACCAACTGTTTGTTGATCAACAACCCACAGACCTGGGAAAGAAAATCGTTTTTTGTAGGTGTTCAATAGACTATACGATTGGAATGGCGTCCATTGACCAACCATAGATTTTCAAGCCTAAAGTTTTGAATTGATCGAACTCTGAAATCCATTGGTATAAGCTAGCCCTGTCGACTTTATGGGTTAGTCCACTCTAACTAGGGGCGTCAATTCAGTTCGGTGGGTTGGGTTTGTGTCCTACTCGAAAATGACCCGATCCGAATCTGGTCAATCCTAACCTGACCAAAATAATAAAATGATCGAATTCTCTAATCTGAATCCAACTCAAAAAATATTCGGGTCAACCCGAACCCAAAATTTTCAAGTCATGTCGGCGTGTCGAGTAAATTTTTTACACCTAGAGATGTCAGTTTGGGTCGGCGGTCGGGTTCATGTTTGACTCGAAAATGACTTGACCCGAATCGGGTCAACCCGAACCTAAACCCGACCCTAAATAATGAATGGTTCAAATTATTTGACCCGAACGCGACTCAAAAAATATTCGGGTCAACCTGATACCAGATTCTTTGAGTGGAGTTCGAGTCGTGTTGGCATGTCAGGTTAATTTTTGACACCCCTAGATCTAACTTCAAGTACGACATTTCAACATATAGTCGGGTTACATAGACATAACCCCGTCTTAGTTTTACTCAACTAAGGTGTTAATTTCATTGGGACCAGATGTAGACCAACCAAAACTGACAGACTCTAAAGGAAGGAAATTATATCGTCGGTGTGCGATAAGTTGGACAGAGAGAAAGTTTGTTATGAGATTTACTTTATCTGAGAGTTACCAACCAAAAAGATTAATCTTCAAAACCAAACTTAATTGGCTTGAGACTAATTAACTTGGTCACATTGTGATGGTTCCATGTGGGGCGTGCTCCAACTTTCAATGGATCAAAGAAAAACTTGTGGAAAGTTTGAATAAGATTAAATTAAGTTTGTCAAACCTTTTTCAGTGTGCGATGAGTATACTAGATGAGAGTAAGAAATGCGTCGATCCATATTTATAACTCAAAAGATTGTCGTGTATAGGGAGGTCAATCAACCCTATCATATTGTGTTGGTGCTACATGGGGCATACTCCAACTTTCAATGAACCTGAAGAAGGTTCAAATAAAATGCTACAATTGGCTAAATTGAAAGGGACATGACATTTGTCGCATTTCAGGTTTACTAGTCCAAAGGATTAACAACCAAAGTCAGTCCTGATTGATTTGAAGTTAATCAACTTAATCACATCGTGATGGTGCCACGTGGGGCATACTCCAACTTTCAATGGATTTGAAGAAGATTCAAATAAAAGGTTACAATAGGTTAAATTGAAAGGGACATATGAGATTTATTGCATTTCATGTTTACTAATCCAAAAGATTAACAACCAAAATCAGTTATGATTGATTTAAAGTTAATCAACCTGATCATATCGTGATGGTGCCATGTGGGGCATGCTCCAACTTCCGATGGATCAAAACAAACTTCTTTCATGCGTGATAAAACTACTTTGAGAAGAGACCTGTGACACTTCTTTGTTTATGACTGCTAGCCTAAAAGATCGATCTCCAAATGCAGCCCTGACTAGTTTGAGATTAGTCAACCCTGTCTCATCATGTTGGTGCCATGTGAGGCGTGCTCCAACCTCCGACGGATTGAAAGAAGTGCAAAATGGATTCGTTGTGTGCCTTGTGTTCGTTTCATGAGAATTTCAAGATTGTTGATTTGTTGGTTTGTTGAAAGAGTTTACTCATTCTTGGGAATTGTGAATTTTCCAGTTGTATTTGTATATAGGACACCGCAGAGGACATTAGCAATCAAGATAGTCTAAGGATGATGTCCTTAAAACTAAGAAAAAGTTTTAATATTCAATTTCTATTTTTGGAGATTTTGATTTGTTGTGTTTGAGTTGTAGTTAGTTGATTTCATGAATTTTTGTTTTGAAAAAGTGTGTTTGTCATGATTCGTTGAAAATATTTATTTTTTATGTAGGTTGATTTTGGATTTTGATTGGGATCAGAATTAGAATTTTGATTTGATTAGCCTCAACATGTTTATGATGGAAACATAGGGACACCTAAAGGAGTAAACAGAGTGATTAAATCAAGTTAGAAAGCACAGAGACTTATATCTAACTTAAGAGCTAATAAAAAAAGATTTGTTTTGATCAACCTGAATACATTAAGGTGGAAAACACGGGGACTCACATTTTACCTAATAGGCGAACATGATGATTAGATCAAGTTAGAAAGCACGGGGACTTACATCTAACTTGAGAGCTAATCAAAGGGGAAATACAACATAACATAACACTAGACCCAAAATAGACTGATTTGATCGATGTTTGATTTTGGAAATCTTTGGCTTGATGTTTTTGTTTGAGAATACAATTGCTTTTGTTTGAAAGTTAATTGTTTTGTTTGGAAATTTTATTCGTTTGTTTGAAAGTTGATTATTTTGAAAATTTTTCGGTGTTTTTTTTTTCAAAATTTTATGTATTTTTTTATTGCAATAGTTGTAGAACACCCTGTGAGAAGTTACACCTTGTCAAATAACAACTAAAATAGTTTATGAACAATGTTTTGAAGCTTGAAAAATTTGAAGGCTTTGATGTTTTGTTTTTTTTATTTCAAGCTTCGGACCCAGTCTTCATTTCAAGGATTTACGTTTTGATTGGATTATAAGAAAGTTGATATTTGAGATTTTAAAGTTTAATTGAGTTCAATTTTAAGTTTGTCCTTTAACAACCCAAGTTTTCTTTAAAGATTTAAGGATTCGGTGATTGTCAGACTTTCATTGGAGTCCTAAAATTGAATTTTATTGAGTGAAATGTTTTGATTTCCCAGTTTATGAATTTAGAAATTATCATAGTATTTAAGATTGTACCATAATTTGATTGGAGTAGATTTAGAATAAATTCAGTCACAAACTGAGGAAATGAATAATTCAAATTTTCATTTAAAATTTCAAAGATTCAACCGTAATTTGACTCCCTTAGACTTCTAAACATATTTTCCTTAGACACATTACATTTTTTTAGGTAGTGCCCTTTGATCGAAGGCATCAGACGTTTGTCTTTGGAGTCCACTGATTGGTAAGAACCTCCTTGGTAGACGAAGAGAGTTAAGACGACAGATAAAGGAGGCATGATGTTCATATTCAAAATGAAACTCGAAATGGAATGCAATCACGCACATTCATATCATATTGATCCCTCCAAATTGATTGATTACTCTTTTAATCAAATTCACATTTCAAGTTAGGACTCAAATGATGTATATATTTTTCACGTGGGACTTCTTGATGTAGGATAGATTTTCATTAATATCAAATAATTTGGTTCTTTCTTTAATTCCCACATTTTTTACTCTAGGCAGAGATCAAAATTTTTATTTTTGTATATTTAAAATATTTTCACTATCCAATGATATTTTAAATCAATTAAGAGTTAATCAATCAATTCAATTTTACTACGCATTTCTCATAAATATAATATCATAAGAATTTTCTCACGAAAGTTTAAGTTTTTTCAATGAAGAGATATGTTCGATCCCAATTTTTTATTTATGCTCACCTCAAACTTCTCCTCAAAGAGGCGGGTTATCTACTTTTAAGAATTTTGAATGTCTGATTTCTGCATATTGATAATTCTCAAACTTTTCTTGACGTGGTTTACCAACATATTGTAGTCCATTTGAAAGTTAAGATCATTTTGATTTGACTCAGTTATCACTTAAAAAGTTTCAAAATATGTTTGGTTAGTTTATAATATTTTAATTGTATAATTTCAATTATTTTGAGATATTTTAAGGTTCAGGCAAAAATTATTAAAAGAACTTAATTATTTTCTAAAATTGATTGCTAATTTCCCTTTTAATGAGCATTTACATCAGATCAGATTGTCAGAATTCCTCTCAGGAGTCGTAAAATATAGTTCATAACTTAGTTGTGTGAATTGATTTAAGGCGAGTGAATAAGCAAAGTTCTATTCCCCAAGCATGGCATACAAGACTGAAAACATGTAGCACAAGAAACACAATCACAGAAAGTGCCAACTTGTGATCGCATCATAGCCCAAATGAGAATAACAATATGAAGTCCGCAATGTACTGCATCATCACATAACATAAATAGTCCAAGCATAGCCTAATTTATCAAAACAAACACAAATATACCATAAAGAAAAAGCATTTATTATGCCTCTACTTGTTATTGTCCCATCCCTCCATCTCGTCATCATCCATGGTACAAAGCTCAAACAGTGGCAAGATTGAATCAAAATTTAAATTTATAAAATTAGAATATAAAATTAGAATATAAAAATATATAAAGTAACATAAAAAATTTTACATCAAACTTTAATCAAAACTTAACAAACAATATATATATGAAGAACTACTTAAAGAATATTATGTGGTAAGATGATATTATGGAGACTAAAAATTAGATTCTATAAGAAAAAATTAGGTTAGTTATGATATATGGATCAGAGTGTGGAGCAATAAGACTATAAGACTCACAGATAGCTAAGTTTGGAGTGATAAAAATGAAAATAGAAAGATATATGCACGATAGAACTCAAGTATAAATTGAGAATGATTATATCAAAAGACCAACTAAAGTGTCATTTATTCGATAAGAAAGTTGAAAATAGATTTGGGTCTAAGGGCATTTATAATGAAGTTTAGATGTTACATCCACTAAATGTGTAATAAAATTAATGTCAAAGGATTAGTAAGAAAAAAAAACGAATAGAGGTAAGAATTTTTTTTAGTTAAATTTTTTTTTTGTGAAGTGTAGGTGTTATGCAGAAAACAGTAGAATAAATGGAAAATGAGGTTTCATAGAGCCAGCCCTGATGTGTTGGGATAAGACTAAGATGGTGATGATGATGCTTCTTTATAAGACACTAAGTTATATGCCCTTAAATTTTTTTATACTTAAAACGACAGTTTTTACCCATTATACCAGTTAATTTTCGTGTTCAACATATTGTTCGGGTTAGTTTTGACTTAAACATACAATTCTTATTACTTTTCCACAAAGTTCGTTTTTTTTAACTGATGGTTTATTTTATTTTTCGCTTTGCTTCTACTGGCATCCTTCTTTGTCACAACATCTTTCTCATTGTTTTTTTTAAACATCTTTATCATGGTTGATTGACAGATTTTCCAGTTTTTTGTGCCTTATTTTTTGAACTTTCATCATTATTTAAGAAATATGAACACGCTCAGATTACTGCTGTCTCATCCAGTCACATGAAAATATTTGTTTTAATATCTTAGTACACCCTTTTTTCACTGCATTAGGTGTCATGCTTCTAGATATCGTCAGCTCTGAAGATGTTTTTCTTCCCATTTATCTACTTTTGTGGTTCATTTCATTCTCATTTCTACTGCTTTGATCGCACTGCAAATTGGCTTCCTACCATAAATGTTAGGCATTTGCATACATACCACACAATTCTTATGTATTTACATATCAACACCTAGACATTCATATTTACATGCATAGCACTCAAATCTTGTAGAACACTACAAAAATACCACCATCAATATCTTTTAAAAAGCGAAATACACCTTTTCATGCATTGGTTTATAACAATGCATTGGTTTATAACACCTTATAACACCAAGGTGTTATAAGTGTAAATGTCAAACTTTGGGTGTTAGATATATAAAAAACATAATAATTGTGGTATTTACATAAATATTGCTAAATGTTAATGAAATGGCATTTTCTTTTACAGGATTCAGTAATCAAGGTACTTGATTTATTTTACCAAGACCGTAATTACGCAAGGTTCTTTGTATTAGAAACAATTGCGAGAGTACCATACTTTGGTGAGTGTTTGTTATATTGTAGTTATACTGTTATAGTTAGAGAAAGTTTACTTCTTTGTGCATCTTTCAGTTTTCAGCTGTTGTTCTTGTAATTTTGCATGCTTTAGTGATTGAAAGGGAAGCTTTATACCAATCTTTACAATTTTTTTTTTTTTTTGTTTATCAGCTTTTATATCTGTACTGCACATGTACGAGAGTTTTGGGTGGTGGAGAAGAGCTGATTATCTAAAAGTCCATTTTGCAGAAAGTTGGAATGAGTTGCACCATCTATTGATTATGGAGGTATTACTATTTTCTCAGAGCTTTTGGCTTTTATGTTGGGAGGCATTCGATGCTCATTTTAGTCAAATTTATAGTTTAATCTTTCTCTATCAATATTTAGTCCAGTTCTGTTAGTTCGAAGTCATATAAGCAAATTATCTTTTAGTTCTCATATATGTCAGAACTTTCATATTGAAAATTTTCTTTGGTTTTTTTTCTTTTTTTTCTTTTTTGTAGGTAAAGTGTTAGAAGTTATATTAGGAAATAACTTATTCCTATTAAAAGTTATGAAGATTATATTTATTTTCTATATATCTTTATTTCCTTTCCTATTTTAGATTTATATTCCTGGATTGGGTTTATTTTCTTTCCTAATTTTCTTTCCTATTTTATGTTGTTTCCTTTATCTTCAAGTAATTATTATGAATTAATTAATTGGAGATATAGGAGTTACATCTTTTCTTTCATATTATTTTCTCTTATTTGTCTTTCTTATCCTAGGATTCATGTAAGGGTTATTTTTTACCCTCTTTCATATCAATAAAAATATCCTGCTTAATTCTACATTATTCTGGATTTTAATATGGTATCAGAGCCTTGAAATAAACCCTAGAGTACCCTTCCATTGAAAACTTCCTATTACCTGCAGTCGACAATCTTTGTCGTGCTGCAGACCCTTCCTCAACCTTCTCTTTTCAAATTTACCACTGGAAACTTCCTTTCTCTGCAGGCACCGCAACCGAAATTTTCGTGTTGCAGTTTTTCCCGCTGCTGTAACTCCCTCCTAGACCCTTTCCTAGTCGCCGAAACTCCTTCCCCTGCAGTTTTTCCGTCGGAAAACTCTCCCAATCAGCGGTAGATCAATCAATGTCCTCTTCCCGGCGGTCTCGTAGAGCTCCTCCAAGTCTAGATAATTGGTAGAAGACGAGCATGGTAGGTTTTGACCTCGACAATGAGAATTGCATTGTAGTTGTATGTCACTCTCCGCTATATTCTAGAAATTGGCAAGTCAAACATGTGATGAAAAATTCCAGAGAAGATCAGATTGTGGAGAGCAATTCAAAGAATTCTTGAAGATTCTATCCAATTCTAGAGAATTGAGAAGGAAAAGCTCTGAAAAGCTCACGAATAACCTAGAATGTTCTAGGGCTATGTGTGTAATAAAAGAGGAATGTATAACTCTCTAAAAACTAGAATAATTTAATGTATTCTAGAATGTTCCATTAGACTTGGACGGGGCTAAAAATATGAGCCCCTCCCCTCATTTGTAATCACCTGAGCATTGAATCAAAGCTTTCAAGAGTATTCAAGTGTGAAGTGTTCATTTCTCTCTATTCTTCTTTTTAAGAGTGTTTGGTGCTCACAAGTCCAAGCTTTGTGAGGATTAGACTGATTTAGTGCTAAAGGAGAACGCTAAAGCCGCACGGGTGACTTGGGGATAGTTAGTCTGTGATAATTGGTATCAGAGCCTTGATTTGAAGGAATGACAAAAAGTGTCAAAGAGCACGTGATGGAGTCGGAAGCCACTAATGTGGAGTCATCTCAAGGGCGAGGTCACCAGGAGCAAAGAGATCATGTTGCACCCAAGCCACATGGGAGGTCCAAGGAGATCATGCATGACTTTAATTTACGTCTTGCTTGGATGGAGGAGGCAATGAATGACATGGAGGGTTAAGTAGAGGATCTTGGCCTAAAGGGTTGATGAACTCGAGGAGGAGGACGTCACTATCCATTCAAGAATCAGAGGTATGATGCTCCAACTTGAGGAGACCTTAATGGGCCATATGACTAAGTTACAGGAGGATTTGTTAGGGAAGCTCTAAGAGGTGCGGAGAGCCTATGAGGAGGAGATGAGCGACATGCATGCTGGTTTGGAGGAGATGCATGGAGACATTTCGCTGTGCAAGAGGGCAACTAGCGGCATCCACAAGTCATCCCACTTTCGAAGCCAAGAGGATTGAAGTTCCAAAGCCTATGAGTTTTGGAGGGGTTCTCAACGCGAAGGAAGTAGACAACTTTCTATGGGGACTAGAGCAATACTTTGGAGCGATGGAGATTGCTGATGAAGATGCAAAAATACAATTTACCTCTCTTTATCTTTCGGACATCGCTATGCTTTAGTGGAGAAGAAGAAAATGAGATGTAGAGAAAGATTTGTGCTCTATGTCCACTTTCAATGACTTCAAGAATGAGCTAAAGAGGTAGTTCTATCCCGATCTGAGGCGAGCATTCCGAGTTGGAGTCTCGGGCCCGGCTGCGAAGGCTTAAGCAAGAGGGTTTGATTCGAAACTACATCAAGTAGTTTACAAGCTTGGTTCTTGGAATCCCAGATATGTCAGACAATGATGCTCTCTTCAACTTCATGGATGAGCTCCAATATTGGACAAAGATCGAGCTTAGGAGGCGAGGAGTGCAATATCTTGTAATTGTCATCACGGTTGCCGAAAGCTTGGTTGATTATTCAATGGAGTCTAGAAAGCTTGGAGATAAGAAGAGTTGCGATGTCAAAGGTGGGGATGACAAGGGCAAAAACAAGGAGGAGAAACGTCACGAATCAACTCTAACAAAAGTAAGGGATAAGGGGAAGACTAACAACAAGCCATATCAAAATCGCTGCTTTCTTTGTGAAGGACCTCATTGGGCAAGGGATTGCCCTCAGAAGAAGGCCCTCAACGCTCTTCTTGCAAGACATTAAGAGGAAAAATAAAGTGATAGGGAAAATGACATGGAAAAATGACATGGAGGGACATGGAGGCACATGTGGGATCTCTTCAATTGTTGAACGGGATGCAAACTCCGACAAAACCCCAAGGGAAGGGGTTACTCTTTGTGAATATGACAATAGGAGGGAAGACCACCAGGGCAATGATGGATACGGGTGCTTCTCACAACTTTATCTCCAGCGAGTAAGCAAAGAGGTTGGGGTTGTAGATGTCTAAAGGAGGGGGCTCCATTAAAGTCGTCAACTCAGCAGAGATGCCAATCGACGGAGTGGCTAAGGGAGTCAAGACCAACATTGGGGCATGGTCAGGTATTCTAGACTTCTCTGTCGTTTCTTTGGATGATTACAAAGTTGTCCTAGGAATGAACTTCTTGGAGCAAGCAAAAGCATTCCCAATGCCATTTGCCAATAGCCTATGCATCATGGAAGGGAGTCAAGCTTGCTCAATACCGATAATAAGGTTAAGCAAGCAAAGATCCAAAATGCTATCGGCAATTCAGCTGAAGGATGGCATTGCGCAGGACAAGAGAGACAAGTTGACTATTCTTCATGATACTAATGAAGGAGAAAAGACACAAGGAGTTGGGATGCCAAGGAATGTGGTGGAGGTTCCTAATGAAACACCACCAGGAAAGAAGAAAGGTGGTTTCACAAGGTTGGAGGCAAGGGATAAGCCGTCAGCCAGGAAGACTTGATGTATGACACCCCTCTCCCACAACAACATGCACAATGGAGAAGCCGCAATGAGGGCATTGCGGGTTTAAGTGGGGGAGAGTGTCATGCTCCGCTATATTCTAGAAGTTGGCAAGACAAACATGTGATGGAAAATTCTATAGAAGACTGGATTGTGGAGAGCAATTCAAAGGATTCTACTCAATTTTAGAGAATATGAGAAGGAAAGACGCAAGAATAACCTAGAATGTTCTAGGGCTATGTGTGTAATAAGAGAGGAATGTAAAACTCTCTAGAAACTAGAATAATTTAATGTATTCTAGAATGTTCCATTAGGCTTGGAGGGGGCTATAAATATGAGCCCCTCCCCTCATTTGTAATCACCAAAGCATTGAATCAAAGCTTTCAAGTATTCAAGTGTGAAGTGTTCCTTTCTCTCTACCCTTCTTCTTCAGAGTGCTTGGTGCTCACAAGTCCAAGTATTGTGAGGATTAGACTGATTTAGTGCTAAAGGAGAGCGCTAAAGCCACACGGGTGACTTGGAGAAAGTTAGTTCGTGATATGTAGCCGGCAACGCGGAATTGATGTTGTTCTCAATGATGAATCCAGGCGTGAGACTCCTGCCATTGTTTGCTTTGGGGAGAAGCAGCATTTCAGATCCTAAGCTGCAGCTTGATCCTAGTATCTTACCATTTGCTGGCTCTGAAGGGCCAGATGGTTTTCTGCTTATCTATGCTGGGTACCTTGGTGAGCAGAAGTTCTTCACGCCAACGCAGGTTCTCTCGAATTTGAAGGGCATTACTGCGACTAATCTCAATGCTTCTGTGGTCGACTGTTGCATTGGAAAGCATTGGGAAGCATTGGGATTCCGGCGTATTTCACTGATTTGCAGAGAAGAGCTGCAATTGATGCTGCCACAACTTTGGATTTGCATCCTCTCCATTTGTTCCATGAGACTTCTGCCATGGCTTTGGCTTATGGCATATGCATAACTGATTTGCAGGAAAATGATCAGCTTAATTTTGCATTTATTAATGTTGGTCATGCAAGAATGCATGTTTGTATTGCAGGTTTCAAAAAGGGGCAGCTGAAGATCTGGGCAAATGTGTATGATCGATCTCTGGGTGGTAGGGATTTTGATGATGTTTTGTTCAAATACTTTGCTGCCAAGTTCAAGTATGAATATAAGATTGATGTTTACCAAAATGCTCGTGCGTGCCTTAGGCTCAGTGCAGCGTGCGAGAAGCTGTATAAAATGTTGAGTGCAACCCCGAGGCGCCATTGAATATTGAATGCTTGATGGATGAGAAAGATGTCAAGGGGTCCCAACAGAGGAGTTCATCGTTGGTTTGCTTGCAAAACGACTTGAAAAAGACTATTACAGAGGCGAGACCGGATGTATCCTTTAAAGGAATCCCAACAGCCGACCTACAGGCCCTCCTCGTTGCAGACTCTTTTCATGCAGTAGTGCCTTCTCTGAAGCTTTTTCCTATATTAGGCTCTTCTCATGAGCTTTTCCTGCAACAGGTCCTCCACCGAGTTCTTTCTGCTGCATGCCTACCTCCAAAGCTTTTTTCTACAGTAGGTCCTCCTTTGGAACATTTTCTTGCAGCAGGCCTTCCTCCGG